TAGTGAAAGGTCAGAACATTTTGGTAACATCATAGTCACATAACCAGCAGCATAGAACTCTCACTAGCTCACAGTGCAGGCTAAATAAAAACCAAAGGCTTGACAAGTTCCTCTCAAAATGGCACCACCTCTTTGAAACCCACTTTCCTTCAAGCAAACATTTAGGTAAGCTGCTGAAATCAACCTCTTCATAGTAACAATACTAAAGTACTTTGCATAGTGTGGCTTCGTACCTGAGGACCTTAAAACTCTTTACAAACATGAATGAGTTAAAGCCTCAGAGCCCCCCAACAGAAAGGTAAAATGATCCAGTTTCTAGTAAATTAAATGTTGTTGCAGCTATACTACCTTGGACTATGATCTTGTTGCTCTTCCTAAACTAATCAGAGTCAGGCTAGAGCAGTCCTTAGAGGAGAGACTTCCAGGGAAATTGAAGCATTGAAAGAGCTATTTTTGGTGACTCAGGAAATGACACCTTTCCCTCTGAGTCAGCATTAGAGCAGCACTGCAGCCTATTTAAAGGAGATACTGTGGTACTGGAGGTACTAGCGTACAGATGGGATTTAGGCACCTAAAGCCTAAGTAACCTAGGAACCTCTGAAAATTTTCCCCATGGTCCGAAGACATCAATCACTGGTATTCTGGATAAAATCCAATGTGCATAATTAATTATCCTATTCTGTTCACCACAAATCTGTGTTGACATTTGAATATATTGTGATCGTCTTCTTCTTATTTCTATAACTGTCGCATGGTGGTGCCATTGTTCCCTTCCACCCCAAACATGCGTATACACCAGCCATAAATTAGGGATGCTAAAATGTGGGTGGGTTGGTAAGTGTGCATCCACTGCCATTTTCAGCAGCTATGTGTTTACACGTGGATGGGGGAGGGGGCTCTGTAGGAGATGGTACATGTGAATCAAGCCATGTTGTTGTAAATGAGCTTGGAATAATGGAATGGAGCAAATGTATGGAGAGTTTTGAAAACCAGGAAGGCACTTTGTAATTAAATCCCACACTGGTGAGAAAAGCCACTGAAGGTAAAGGTGGGGGTGATAAATCTGATCCATCTTCCTTGAAATGTAGAGTGGGGATTTGGGATTCCAAGCATTCAGGCCTCAGGAGCAAAGTTTGTCAAGAGTACTGAGAGAAGCACACAAAGGACAAACAAGAAATTTCATTCAGGAGGGTAGTCTCAGCCTTTGAAGCATTCAGTGTGAGAGCAGGTCTGTGCAATGGCACACAGACAAGTTATACCAGATTAACAAAAGGTGTGACTTTAATGCATGAGTTAAAACCCATCAAAACCCCATGTGGACTCTCTCATCCAGGAGCCTTAGTGAGATTTTGCTAAGCCCCTTCAAAAACTGAAGTCTCCTCCCTTCAGAATGAAAGCATCCACATGGGTGTAGTGTGCTTTAACATAGAGATCTATAAAATCATGAGTGGTGTGGAGAAAGTGAATAAGGAAACATTATTTACTTGTTCCCATAATATAAGAACTAGGGGCCACCAAATGAAATTAGTGGGCAGCAGGTATAAAACAAATAAAAGGAAGTTCTTCTTCACACAGCACACAGTCAACCTGTGGAACTCCTTGCCAGAAGAGGCTAGGACCATAACAGGGTTTAAAAGAGAACTAGATAAGTTCATGGACGTTAAGTCCATTAATGGCTATTAGCCAGGATGGGTAAGGAATGGTGTCCCTAGCCTCTGTTTGTCAGAGGGTGGAGATGGATGGCAGGAAAGAGATCGCTTGATCATTACCTGTTCGGTTCATTCCCTCTGGGGCACCTGGCATTGTCCACTGTAAGCAGACAGGCTACTGGGCTGGATGGACCTTTGGTCTGACCCAGTATGCCGTTCTTATGTAACTAATGCCCAAATATAGACATGCCCTTTCTCAAGAATATGTTAAAATTTTTCCAAGTCAGGATGCTATTTGAATTGACCTAGCCTGACTAATCATTTTACAGTATATACTGTCTCAGGATAATGACAGTGGAAAACCATTACCAAAGAGCACTTTTCTAGAATCGGTATCAGAGAGGTAGCCGTGTTAATCTGAATCTGCATAAACAACAAGACATCCTGTGGCACCTCATAGACTAACAGATTTATTGGAGCATAAGCTTTTGTGTGCAAAGACCCACTTAGTCAGATGCATCCTTACTAGGATGTCCATCACTAAAGGCAGATGCGAATGACTTCAATTTAAGGAGAAGGAAGCTTTGATGTTGACCTGGTAAACACTAATGTTAAATTTGAATGATCATACCTTTAAGGACAATAGTTGTAGCTGCTCTTTGTAAAGTTTTCATAATGCAGTACTTTGTTCAGGTTGGTTAAGAAGATTATAATGACATTTTGGGGCCTTTTGGAAAAAAAACTTTCAAGAACAAGGGGAACTCAGCTTCATACTGTACTCACTACATTATGTCAGATTTAACAGACACAACCCCGTTGATTTCAGTGGCATTCTGGCCCTTACAATGGCCTGAATTTTTGTAGCAGAAATAAATAATTTAGTGACCATATTATGTAAATAATGATCTTGTTATTAGTATAGAAGAGACAGAAATATTTGAAGCCTATTGTACTAATTCAAAGAATTGTGACATTTCAATTTTAGGATTAGATTTTCAAGGTAACAAAATTATTTAGGAACCTAATTACCGTTGCCTTCCAATGTGACTTGTGCTCCCAAGTGCCCAAATCACCTTTGAAATGGAACTTGGGCTCCTAAGTCACTTAGGCACTTTTGAAAATGAACGTGCCATCTTTTTGTTGCTGTCTCTTATCTTCTGCTTTAATTCAGAAACTGTGTAAATATTCTGAACTAAGCAAGCATTTCCCCCGCATCCTCCAATCCTTTGATCCAGCCCAGCTGCGCTTGGCTCAAGACATAAGATGGGGGTCAATGGTAGTTTTATACGTTCCACTAATCCCTGTGACTGATGGAGACCTATGGCTGCTCTAATTTACAGCCCCCTGCAACAACCCCCATAGTGCCACTGCAGCACCCAGGGATCAGAACCCTCCAACACCCCCACAGAATACCTCTATGAGAAGGGAACTAGAAAAGGGCCAGCGACACTATCCAGAGATTCCGTGATAACAGGAGAATCCAGAGCTACCAGCTTTCTGGATTTAAGGTTGTTCAGTACTGCTTAAGTGGTGCACAACAAATGTATCCGAGCTGGATCTGTATTTGTCCCATCAGATCAGATCCTGCTAGTACGGAAGCCAATGGCAAAACTCCTTTTGACTTCACCTGGAGTAGGAGGAAGTTGATGGTGGAAGCAGTTGATGGTGGAAGGAGAATCCACTAATTCTCACATGCTCACCTCACTATGCGGTTAACTCATGACTTCATCTTTTTTGAGCTGTTAGTTTAATCCCATAGCGGTGATGGACAGTATGATATATAGCCATGACAGTGATGAGATGATGTAAGAATCTGAACGAAATATACTTACAACCAAACTATGACTTCAGTTGAGTGTATGATTCCTATTTAAAACACCATGTCTCCAAAATTTGTATGATACTTGTAGTATATCATGTCTTATTTCCCCCTCTGTGTGGGTTAAGTAAGAAAGCAAGGAAATGAGTGAATGCTATCATTCCCTTATGTAAAGCAAAAAGGTTGGATGAAGATTGCAGCTAAATATTGAATTTCCCCAAAATAGACATTAAATATTTTCAGAGACATTTCTGTGACAAGCTCCACCTACTGATGAATAAAGTACTGTTGCATTTTAATTTTACCTGCAGCTAGAAGTAGGTGGTGAATATTTCTAATGAGAACTAAACAAATTATAAACATCAGAAATCTTCACAGAAATTAGAATATAACGAAGTAACATGTCTCTGGCTAGCTTTTTTTCCCCAGACCATATTTTCTGCAAAGAAAGGTTTTTCCTTTGATGCAAAGCAGAAGAAGGTGCCATTTAGCCTGTTATATTTAACTATCATACTAATCTCTTCTTCTTTAGATTAAAATTATAGGCCCCAGATTGCAAGTTATGATATTTGTTTTCCTATGATTGCTGCCTTTAGCTCATAAGTGAACTCTACTGACAGCTCTGTGGGTAACTTTGAAGAAGCCTCTAGGTCTGAATATATTAAGCTCTACAGCATTCCAAAGCAAATGACAAAATTCCCCCACAATCTTTCCCCCACAATTTCCCACTGGCCCTTTTTATGAGCTGCATACAGAAGAGACCGATCTATTACATTTGTCCTATTCCTGTTTTTCTTCCTGCTTTAAATATAGCAGAATGTATAAAATAATGAAATGGTATTCAGAAACAATTCTTTTGCCAGGTCTTCCATCTGTTATTCTGCAGAATCCTAATTTTTGTATAAAAAACAAAACCATGGAATGCAACTCAATATGTTACAAGATGTTTATTTTCATTGACTTAGTCCAATAAAATACATAGCTCAAATATTAATATTGGAGTAAGTTAAGATTTCATTACCATTTGATCTATATATTTTACTGACATAAATGGATAAAAATAAACAGCTTGTAATGTATAGAGTTACAGCCTATGCTTTTGTGGATTTAGAGAGTCTGTGGTGGATTTCGATTTTGCAACAGATTTATTTTCTCTCATTCAGTTAAAATAACTACGTAATCATTATTTGTGGTTAGTTCTAGGTTCATTTTCATAATGCACCATGGGATTTGTCTGCATAACTTCTGATGGTAATGACTCTCTATTGATTGAGATTCTTTATTGTGAGACTGAATTGATGATGACTTGACAATGAACTAGTGGTAAAACTCCCATTTTAGAAAAAAGAAAACATTAACATAATGTAATCTTACCAAAAATGCATAAGAACAGTATGGATTCTGTGAGGGCTTTTGGAGATTTGCAGTGCATGCCATTCTGAAAGTACCACACATGCATTTGTTGCTGTGAACTCAAATGCTGTGGAATCTGTAAAGATGCAAGATTAAATTTTCCATTGCCATTTTTACAGATAACAGCCCGTCGACAATGGAAACATATTTATGATGAATTAGGTGGTAACCCTGGAAGCACAAGTGCTGCTACATGTACTCGCAGACATTATGAAAGGTAAGATAACAAATATGAAATGCTTGTTTAATAAAGAAAAAAAACTAATTTGGAGAGTCTTCAAAGCATTTTGTAAAGAATTAGAGAAAGAGAGAGAGAATGAGAGAGAGAGTATGTGCTCTCTTACAGGCATGGTAAATATTCCTCCAACAATGCAGTTTTATAATCCACAGTAATTTAAACCACTGTGTGTGTCTCCAGTGGCAAAACAAACAAAAAACGTATCTGATTGCTTTTTGCTTCATACTCACAGTTTACCATAGCATTTCTAATAGAGAAGCTGCAAAATTGAACAAAACATTAAAGAGAAAATAATAAATGACAACTAATTGAGTCTACTATTTGTATTCAAAACATTTCAGGAACAAAATTCAGGCAAGTTGTCATGACCAAAATAAAGGGGTGGCTTGCATTGTTGGATGCAGTTAATATTGCAGGTCATACAAAGCATTGCGTTTCTATTCCATGGTACTTTTTTCTGTCTTCCCTGCATAGAAGCTGCTGCCAACACTTTTTTTCTGTACTGCAAGTGTTGCTGGTTAGAATTGCTGATTTTTTTATTCTTCCAATGTAGATAATAATTTACAGTGCTTAGGAAGACAACACACATAAATTAAAATACTGTAGCTGGAATTTTTTGAAAGGCATTATTTTTATATAGGTGTGTGTGTGTGTGTGTGTGTTCAAGTTCAAATATGGGAAAACTGACTTCATGTTCCAGATTATGAAGTGGCTGCCTGCAGAGGTCAGGAGGAAACCATTTGTTTTAGCCCATTAAAAGTGTTGTATAGTTAAGCTACATGCAGCTTGAGTTCTGCACCTTCCTCTGAGCACTAGATATTGGACATATAGCTGGACACAATACAATAACTGATGGTGGGAACTGCTAATTTTAGATTCCAATATCAGTTCCCCAGAATAAGATCCTTTGGTCCATTATGAAGAAGTTATCATAAAAGTTAGAAACTTTCTGTAGTCCAACCCAAACAGGCAGGATAAACATGGTAAAATGTTTTGCTTGGCTATCAAGGCAATGAGCTTGGGGGTGCATGGGAAAATTCAAATTGACGCACTTTGCAGTATACATGAGAACATAAAAAAGGCCATACTGGATCAAAACAAAGGTCCATATAGCCCACTATCCTGGTTTTTCAACAGTGGTCAATGCCAGGTGCCCCAGAAGGAGAGAACAGAACAGCTAATCATTGCGTGATCCACCCTCTGTCTCCTATTCCCTACTTCTGACAAATAGAGGTTAGGGACACCATTCCTGCCTGTACTGGCTCGTAGCCATTTATGAAGCTATCCTCCATAAATTTATCTAGTTCTTTTTTGAACCCTGTTAAATTCCTGGTCTTCACAACATCTTCTGACAAGAAGTTCCTTAGGTTGACTATTGTGTGAAGAAGTACTTCTTTTGATTTGTTTTAAATTTACTACCTGTTAATTTCATTTGGTGACCCTTAGTTCCTGTGTTATGGGAAAAAGTTAAAAACTTGTCCTTATTTATTTTCTCCACACCAGTCATGATTTTATCCTCCCCCTCCCCAGTCATCTCTTTTCCAAGCTGAAAAGTCCCAGTCTTTAAAATGTCTCCTCATATGGCAGCCATTCCATACCCTTAATCATTTTGGTTGCCCTTTTCTGAACTTTTTCCAGTGCTAAGATATCTTTTTTGAGATAAAGTAACCACATCTGTATGCAATCTTCAAGATGTGGGCGTATCATGGATTTTTATCGAGGCAATAAGATATTCTCTGTCTTATTTGCTATCACTTTTCTTAATGATTCCTAACATCCTGTTTGCTTTTTTGACTGCCCCTGTACATTGAGTGGATGTTTTCAGAGAGTCACTCCAAGATCTCGCTCTTCAGTGGTAACAGCTAATTTAGTCCCATCAGGGGATTATGTTTTCCAATGTGCATTACTTTGCATTTTTTAGCATTAAAATTCATCTGCCATTTTGTTACCCCGTCACCTAGTTTTGTGAGATCCTTTTGAAGCTCTTCACAGTCTGCTCTGGACTTAACAGTACAGGCAGTCCCCGAGTTACGCGGATCCAACTTATGTCGGATCCGCACTTACGAACAGGGCTTTCTCGCCCCGGAGCTCGCAGGCAGCGGGACCGCCCAGAGCGCAGCGGTCCCGCCACCTCGACCTCCGGGGCGAGAAAAGCTGCTCCAGGTGCCCCTGGTCTGCTGGGGACCGTCTCCAGCAGACCAGGGACACCTGGAGCAAAGCCGGGGAGGCGGAGGGGTCCCGCGCCTCTGAGGCTTTGCTCTGGCAAAGCATCAGAGGC